ACTAGGGACGCACAGATACTTTTCGAGTACCAGTGCAGATACTTGGCATTTTCATGAGAACTACCAGGGTTGCAGCGGTTGCAGCTGGGACCTGGCTCTGGCGCTCCACCACTGTCCGGAAATCATTAGTCTGTATTGTTTTAGAAAAACGGTCACATGACAATAAACAAAAATGTATCAGTACTTGTACTTGTAAGTACTCGGCAAGTACCAGTACTCGTACTCGCAAAACTGGTATCTGTGCATCCCTTTATTTATATTTATAAAAACAAAATCGTACATTAAAACAGAGATGTACAAATCCCAGGAGCTCCGTGTGCTCTTTACAAATGACAGCTGCCTCCTAACTTTTACATTTTTCTCTAGTCTAGTCTTGGAGCTCCAGAGTATCGGTACATGTACTCGTACTTGTACCGAGTATTGTACTTGGTATCTGTGCAACCCTACTCAGTACAGACATTCAGTTATGAGACTTGAGGAAATAATTAATGGTCCCTCTTCTGCAGTCATAGCAGTAGTATTCTTTTCATTCACAGATCCTGTGAACCAATTGGTGGGGGTCTGTTCAAACCAGCAGCATGCACTATCGCACAGCTGCTGGTGTGCGCTAAACGGAAGTGGTGCAATGCACTGTTATCAGCGCATTGCATTGTTAACCTTTGTTAAAATGTATAGAAGTGTCATAAAGTGACATTCACTTCTATTCACCCCAGGATGTTGTAATGCAACATGGTGGTGCAAACTGACTCCATAGTAAAGAAGGGCATTTGCCTTATCTATGAATCAGGACTGTGCTGGGTAAGGCTGACCAATACAGCCTAACACTTCTGATATGAACAGGCTTCTAATGAATGATGCAGATGTGTGGACAGAGCCATGCACAGTCATGCTGAATTCAAATGAATACTGAATCCGTGAGGAGAAGAACTCCCCCATTCAGCTAAGTTGGAAGGGTGGATCGGTTTCAATTCGGGGACTGGGAAATGTGAGCATGCTTTATGATACACCCTAAATATGGGTATAACATGAAATATGACCCAAAAGGTGGAATATTCTTTTTCTGTTATACAAGTAAAGGCTTTTAGTGGCAAGACAGGAAGAAAGAGAGAGAAACATGATTTTAATTTACAGTTTGTAAACAAAATCAATGTAC